AATAACAAAAAAATAAAAATTGTGCCAATTGTGCTAATTGTGCCAGCGAGGGTCCGAAGTCTCAAACGCCCCACAAGAGGTCGAACAGATTGGACATTTTAAATTCCATATGCTTTACTTATCTCTAAATCTCTGAAGGAGTCTCTAATGGCATCTTTCTAACTGGATAACAAATTTACGATGGTTGGCACACAGAAAAATTGGCTGCAAAAAAGCGCGAAGTAAAGTACAAACTTACGCCTTCCCGGGTTCTTGAGTCGGTTACTAACAAAACCTAACCCGCAGGTACCAAAATCTATGACGTATCTAAGTCGATAAAGCGAGAGACGACACGGATCCTGCTACCCTAATGCTTTTTACTTACCCTTAATCCTCTGCCAATCAATACACTGGAAGTTGTTATGTTGTTATGGACGACGCCTTTCTGTTCCAAGTGCTGTATTGCGGAAATCAAGTCCATGGCCACAACGATAAGGCAGTCCAGATTAAAAATAATCCTGTTACTTTTGAAATACTCCTCCAAAGTCGTGTTTGCAGAAAAGTCGTAACACAATAAACTATATATAGCAGAAACAGGAAAAAATTGAAAGAAATAATAGATTGAATAATCGATTGATTAATATACATTTTTTAAGCCGGGTATTTCACTGAAAGTCAATTTCAAACCAGGCAGTTATAAGGAAAAAATGAGCTCTTTGTTATGAAATGGCATGTAAAATACACAATTAAAGGACAATATAACAGTGGTATTTTACTCAAGAACACGAAAAAAGTCGAAATTTTGTTTAAGACCAACCCCTTTTTTATGAAGCGTCTTTCTGACGTTTGCCATGATAATAAGGGCTTAATTCCACGTCAAAATAAACGCTAAATCTCTTGAACACAATCATCTCCTATGAGAAATCTGACAGTTTAAAAGAAATGAATGGTTTCAATTACAATGAACTTTTCTTGAATCTTGGAAATCCTGCTTTCTTGTAGTTCACATCACACCTTTCGGCTGCAAAAAGTAACATAAAAATAAATAGTATTTTTCCCTACATGTACAATAAGTCATTCGGATTACAACTATGTACAAGTAATAAGTGTCATCAGAGCATCCTAAGTATTGCCAAGGCCCGACACTGTGTGGGGTCCAAGAATGTGTAGGACCGAGCATTTCATAATGTGATACGCGGAACCAAAGGACGAATATTTCAGAAATTACTGACTTAGGCGTTAAGCTCGAAATTCGATCCGTACCCTAACTTAAATTCTTTCGATAATACATTTTCTTACGTCGCCATTTACATGCATTTAACAGTTGAAAAAGGTAAAGTATTTGTTATCTGCCAGGGGCGTAGCCAGCGTTTCGATTAGTTTTAGCCTGGCTGACTTTCTTTTTCACAAATTGTACGCATGACTAGTACGCACTGACCTCACCAACTCTGAGCTCTTAAGCTTTTTAGCTCACCCCAACAACGTATAATTTATTACAAGCGGTAGAGTAATCAAACCAAACATTTGTAGGCCCGGGCCCCTGTCTGCCTCATACTTGCAGAGTGCCAGCAGTATTTGATTATATTGGGATGCTCCAGTCCCTGCCTAAGCTCTTTTGCTAATTCAACTTCCTTTTTCCAGTCCTCTTCTTTTATCTTCGAAAAGTGCTTTATCAGTCGAACACACGGGTTCTTTTTACTGCCGGACCACGCTACAACAAATCCCTAAAAACAAAATGAAAACTTCAGAAGTAAATTTTCATGAATTTTACGTCAGCACAACCTTTCACTTTCTTACAATTTCCAAAAACGAACCTGTTAAAAGTTTCAGACTCTGCTAATTTTGACCAAAAAGATAAGGTCTTCAATAAAAGGGAACTTTATTTTTTATTCGTCAGTCATGGAAAAGTTGTTACAAAACATAGTGGACAACACAGAAAGTGAAATTGATAATTGCAAAACATTTAGTGCAACTTAGCTTTGATGATAATCGCATGTTTGTTTGTTTGTTTCTTTTTTACATCACAGTTATTACACTCGACAAGAATTGATAATTCTGACATTGGTAATGTCACTTGGAAAACACTCATAGACAGGTAATAGTGTAGTCTAGTGAGGCGGTTTAATCCCATTTTTGCGCGGTAGTGCATTAACATCAACGATGTTATGGAATTTCATTAAAAATCGGTAGTGGTGGTGGTGGTGGTGGTGGTAGTGTTAGCTGAAACAATAAAAATGTACATGTAGTGTTGCTAAAACCAATTCGCCTTTACCCTATATGCATTATTTGCGTACCCAAAATATATAGACCAGAACGAGGATGCAAAAATTATGGTTCAGTTTTAGGTAACCACTGACATAATAATGCCGATAATATATGAGCGTATTCTATTTTCTCTTAACCAATCAAAATATATATGTGACATCGTCTTTCCAAGAAAAGCGAATCATGTCAGACCACACGACTTCATATCATCAGCCTGTGAAAACGGATGTTTTCGCAGGCTATGATATCATTTGCATTTACGTACTCCTTCACAATTTCACAAGATTTCTGCGCAAGAAAGGGGAATAAAACATCCTTGTTATACTGCTGAAACTATTGGACGACCCAAAAAATATTTGTTTCAGACATGCTGATATGCAGTTGAAACGCTTTTGCAATCCTTTCCAAGGATCATCACCCCTTCCCATTAGCGCTCATAGATCAGTCTGCTATCGTATTTTTCGCCTCCGTTTGCCTTTGACGGTCAGCTTGGCGAGTCCTTAAAACGTCAATACTACGAAAATTGTCACAAGACCTACCACTGACACAGAAGTTTCATCCCAGAATACGTTTGGTATTTCTACCAGCTTCAGATCTGTCTCGGGTCCCTCGCTTTCTCGAATCTTGTCTAGTTGACGGTTGGAACTTTTCGGATTCAAGGACAAGCTCAAACCGGCAACAAGAGTCGTCTGGGACTCACTTGGTACAACAGCGTTGCGGCGCAACATGATCCCTTTGCCTTTTGATAGTAACAAAAAGAAATGATGACCAAAGCTCTTCTGTTAATATTTTAAGAGAAGGCACCAGTTTTTTTTGGTGGTTTTTTCAAAGACTAATTTTAATAGGTCCTTCCATCCTTTCCTTTTGTGCGAATACACACCCACCATAAAGAAATCGTAATAAACAAGAAGACAAACAGAAGGATAGTTTGCATTTTTAGACCTAGCAATGACGGCAAGGTAAAGGCGCCGCAAGCCAAACGTCCAAATGGCCAAAGGTTATACCGGTTTCCTTAGCATGAAGCATGCCAAGGAATATTGCTACTCCTCCCTGGACAGGATGCAAGTCTATCGCAGGGTTATCCCCCGGCAGTATGTCTCGGTACCCATTTATGCACCTGGGTGAAAGGAGAAAATGTGGAGTAAAGTTCCTTGTCTTTGGAAACAACGGAGCTTAAGGAAAGGCGTTTTTAAAGGACGCACTCAATCGTAAGTGAGGTATTTTCCGTTCATCATGCTTCGACGTTAATATATTTGTATTGCGAGATGTGTTTTGTCTTTTTGAGACAATTTGTCTGAGGATTTAGGCAAAACCATTGCACTGCCCAAGAATACAAAAAAGTCCACCTCCGGTTGACGTGCGTCGCTCAAAAACACCTTTGCTTAATAAGCTCCCTGATAACACACCTGGGTTTCTCTTCGGCCGCCGCACTGTTCGTTCCAAGACAGAGGTAAGTGTATCAGTGTGGTCACCTACTTTTCTTTTGAAAAGTGGAGTAGAAAATGTATATAATATTGGATTGAGAGCAGAATTCAGTGGGAGAACAAACACTGCAATCCACACATAGGCTTGTTTCTCAGGATCATGAAACTTTCCGAGCAAGGATAAAAGGCCAATGACGATAACAGGCATCCAACACAAGAAATCAGTTAAAACAATGAACATCATTCTCCAAGCCATTTTCGATTCTCGCTTCATGTTTGTTGACCTGGCCTGTTTTGCAGCACCCTTGACGCTAAAGAGCATAGCTGTATACGCAGTGAGAATATATATAAAAGAGACAAAGTTTAAAATGATGAAAATGACAACAGCATATTCCCAGCCAGCCTGTCTCTCTGTTGAAAGTTGAAGGGGAAGGCAAACAGCTGATTTTCCATAAAATCCAACTTCGCGCTTTTTGTCGAAGAAGTAATCCAACCCTAACGTTGGAATGATAGATATCATTATTCCAAAAATCCATATACCACCCACAATAACATAAGCACATTTGCGGTTTATACGTCGCTTTTTGAACGGGGAAATAACACAAATAAGTCTATCGGTTGTGATAAGGGTCAGCATCAACACAGATACCTCACTTGACGCCATCGAAAGGGCCCCCGTAAATGCGCATGTCAGCCCCGATCTCCAATCGACATCATGTTCGAAGTATTCACCTTGCCATTGTACATCTTTGATAGCAATGATAAGCAAATAGACGCCCATTAGTAGATCTGAAATAGCTAGGTTTGTCAGAAGAAATGAATGCACTTTGTTGTTTTCTTTCACAAAAACTCGCATTAAAATAACGAGAAGATTTCCAACAAGAGCAGTAATCCCCAATACCCAAACACAAATCTGAACACCTTTATTTTTCATTAAGTCAGAACAGCTAGAAAATTCGGCTTTGGGTGAGATACAGCGAACACCAGCCACTGCTTTTTTGGCATAGCAGCAAAGAATATACTCGTCCAAATGTCTGAAAAGAAGAAAAATATATTTATTTACAAAATCAAATTTGTGACTGTAAGCGAGTAAAAGTAGTGTAGTTATTAGATATGATATGATTATTTTGACTCGACTAATATCCAGTGAATAGTATGTAAGTAAAGAAAACTACTCCATTAGCAGCGGAGATTCGCTATAGCACCTAATCTCAAACTCAGACCAAACGTGCTCGTGGAAATTTGGGTACTAGATAGATATAATATAGCGCCACTCCTTTTATTTTCCATGCAAAACTAAAAAGAAAAACTCTTACTAGTTGTGAGACTCACATTTCTTTCAGGCTTTTAAGTCCATTGAAAACGTCTTTTGGGAAGTTTTTTATACTGAAGGAGTTATTACTGAGATCCCTAAAAACCAATAAAGAAACATTTGATAACGTTTCAACCGCTAGCTTAATTAACACCTGCTTATAGCCTTTAATATATAATAGTGACAGTGTTTTAAAATATCCCTATAAGGTAATTGCCCTTATCGTTCAAACAGATTTCTCGCGGTGTGCGAGAAACTTCAAGATTTTCTGGTACCTCTACCCTGTTCTTCATCCCTTTTCACTTACAGTTTCTCCAGGGATGATAGCCCTGCAAATGTCTTTGAAGATAACCGCAAGATCTGGTTATCGTTTAGGTATCTGAGATAAAAACAAAGCAAATACTTCTTATCACTTTCATTTTTCATCTTGAGCCACATTTGTCCTGACTTCATGTCGTAATCAATACTTGCCCTGGTAAATTTGCAGTTTTTGTGGTCAAAACTTTGAGTTTTAAACATTGGGGAAAAAAACTGATATTTGTTTGCCTAGTAAATTGACTGACTTTTTCTCGGCCTACTTTTGGCGCTTTTCCTGTCAAAAGGGGATACGAAGATAGATTCTTTGAATTCATTGTGTAATCCCAAATTTTATTATCCCACATAAATTAACTGACGTCATTTCATATTACTTCCAGTTGAACATGAACCTTAGTGCAGACACGATCATGTGAATCTTGAAAGCGTAGCTTTTTAGGGAATTTGTACTGAGGCAAAAGACCAACAGAAGCTCATTGTTAATAGCCAGGGTTATTCCTTGAATGATGTGATAAACTATTGAGCTAAATTTTGTTCACCCATCAGAGTAAAGATCACGGAAGGTAATAGATTGATTGCAGAATTTTTCGGTAAGGGACGAGGTAACCGCGTTTTTGAACTTACAATATCTTAAGCCTAGATAAGCCAAGGAATGCGTAGTCTGGTAACTCTTTCAACTCATTTTCCTGAAGGTATCTACATTGGATTGAAATAAAAGTAAAATGGTTTAAATATATACACTTGAAATCTGGCAAAACAAATGCAATAATATGTCACTCACAGATTCTGTAAGTTCCTCGTGGAGTTAAATGCGTCCTTTTCAATCCTGTTTATGCGATTCTGTCTGAGGCTCCTTGGAAAAAAAAATATGAGGCAGTAATCAGATAAAATGTCGGTTTTAAGCGAAGAGTGTAATGACAAGTTTTTCGAAAGCTAATTTCGCTTACTTACAAAGTAGTCAAGGACGCCAAAGATGCACTGAATGTGTTCGTCGAAATGGTGTCAATCAAATTAGCGCTGCAGTCCCTTAAAAAAGTAGGAAAAACCGGATAGTTTTCGAAAATTTGAATTTTATGATCAAATCTTGTAAAAGAAATTTTAAATAACAGATAAAATATATATAAAAGAACTCACAAGGTCTGAAGATGGTACATATTGTCCAACATGCCGATAGGTAAGGCCCGTATGAAATTCGAGTCAAGTTTCCTAAAATGTAAATTTTAATTAATGCTTTGAGACCTGCCAAGAATGGCGATACCATTTCAAAGTAATTGAACTTCTAGAACACTTAAGAACAATTTATTTATTTTCATGGCTCAAACATTTGTAAAAGCTGTTGATTAACTATTTTTTTTAAGTTTAAAACCAGTTAAGGCTTAGAACATTTATGTAAATTTAGTAATGACATTTTTAAAGCGAAGTTTTTTAAAAAAGTGTCTGTTTTCAGTTTGTTACTTACAACGTTTGTAGTACAGAACCATTGCCAAATGCACCTCTTTCAATTTTGAAGATGTGGTTTCCACTCAGGTCCCTGTAAAGATTTTATGACATTTTTTTTTTTTTTACCATACTGATAAACTGTAAAATAAAACTTACTGTTAACTTTTAGGATTAAGACAGTGTGAATGAAACTTACAAATACTTTAGACTTGACATATCGGAGAGCTTTTTCTTAGGTAGATGAGAAATGTTATTCCTCTGAAACAGTCTGTCGGGACAAAAACGTAACATACGATATTTCGCTTTTTATTCAAAATCAGCATTCGCTATATATATTTATTATTATTATTTTTTTTGTAAAAAATAAACATATTTTATTAATAACATACTAACTATTAAAAACCTATTTACAATTAATTCACTTAAAAAAACTATTTCGTCAAAACACTATTTAGAAATTTCTTTCGTTAAAAAACACTTAGTTTTGATTAGAAAAATTCATTTCATTCTTCTTATTATTATTATGTAAAATTTAGCACAGGGATTTTCCCTGGGGAGAAATATCCAGTCAAGTCTCATCCAGTCAAGTTTAGTAAGAGATTTATAACAGGCGTATTAATTTTCAGGTAATCAGCTCACATCACGGCTGCCTTAGAAGGAATGTTTCCTGGTAAAGCAGTCAGTTTCTTTCCCTTTTTCACTGTTATCACCATCTCAAGAATCTTTCGTGAAACTGGATTACACTCGCAATTTGAAGGACAACCTTAAATAGTAAAATAGTAAAAAGCAATTCGTTAATTACATTATCATTCTAATAACATTGTTAAAGTAATTTTTTGTTGCTGTTTTTTCATTTTCTTTCAAAGAGGCCGTAATAACATTTAAGCTGCCCGCACGGTGGGGATCGTCTTATCTGTAGTTCGTTCACCCCGATGTAGTTTGTTGTGTTCGGCAGTGTATATTACCCACTTTCTGTGTTTTTTGTTGTTGTTGTTGTTGTTGTATTTTTTTTGATATTGCATGTTTGTGTGTTTGTTTTTTTCTCAGAGAGAGCTTTAAGTCTTAACACGCATATACTTTGAGGGCGGGAGGCGGATTAACGAAGAAGGGAAATTTTGCTACTTACCTTCGTATTGGAGACACTCTTCTTTATCAACGTCAGCTATATAAGAGAGACATATGCATATGTTCTAAATACAGTGTATTTTTTTTAATGACTCATATAATAAATACTTGTTACTAGAACAGGTAAAACTTCCGGGATTGTGGTGCTGCAGTATGATAAGGCAACAGATAGCTCATTATTGGTCAGGAATGTTTTAGGGCTTTGCAATATATAGCCCACGTTCGATATATTAAAATTCTGGTATGACTCCGAGGCTTTCTTAATTGTCATATTACTATATTTGGTTTGGTACTCAAGTCTCTTCTGGGGATTGCGAGACCATGGAATCAAGAAACATTTTCAGTTTTGTTCCTAAAGCCTCAGAGTCATGTTAGAATTCTAATATATCGAACGTGGGCTGTTACGGAGAAATATTACGTCATTCAACTTCTGCTTTCAACCACTCAGTAGAAATTCAGTTCAGTTAGCCCTTGAGAAACTAAATGTCAGAAAGGCCTGTGGTTATGACTCCATATCTCCTAGAATGTTAAGGCTAGCATCAAGTGGCATAGCAGATTCCTTAACAAAGCTTTTTAATGAGTGTATAAGGAAAGGTAAATGGCCTGAAGCATGGAAGAAAGGAGAGTGGAACCCAGTCCACAAAAAGGATGACCGGTTGGATGAAAGAAACTATCGTCCGATAACATTGCTAAGTACAGTAGATAAGGTTTTTGAGTCTATGATGAGCATACAAGTGAATAATCATTTTGATTCCAAGCTCGATCCCTGCATATCTAGGTACAGGAAAAAACATAGTTGTGAAACTACTTTGCTCAGACTCACTGAAGATTGGAAGCTGGCTGTGGATTCGAAGCAATTTATTGGAATACTCTCAACAGACACGAGTAAAGCATTTGATTCCCTACATCCATCACTCATGATAAATAAAGTTAAGGCGTATGGCTTTTCAGAGGAATCACTCAGCTTGATGAGATCATATTTTTCCAATCGGCAAAACAGAGTCAAACTCAATGGAGTCACCAGCAGTTGGAAGGATGCTGTTAGAGGATGCCCTCAAGGGTCATCATTTGGACCCTTACTGTGGAACATTTTTCAAAATGATATGACGTATAGAGTAAATAATGCAAGCTTTTCAATGTACGCTGACGATCATCAGCTCAGATATTTAGGCCCACACATATGGGGCAAGATAAGCCAGGAACTACGCAGTAAGACCAGTCTTCAGGCATTCAGGAGAGGGGTGCGTGCTCTCAATGTGCTTGGCTTGCTGGACGGCACGTGTGGCTGCTGTGCATGCTTATCTTAGAGTGTTGGGTATGCATAGTGGCTTCTGCTGTCTGGCTGCCTGGTGTATTGGGAGTGTGCTCCCCTATGCTCTATTTAATTCATCTAAATTAAATTTTCTAGACTTTTAACTTTCTGAATTGTGTATTTATGTTTGACTGCTGCTTATATGTTTGTCCTATATTGTCTGTTTTGTCTATCTATTTGTTTGTCTTTGTTTGTTCCCTGCTTGTCCTACTGTTTGTCTGTAATAATTTTATATATTGATGTTATTTTTATATATTAATGATATTTTAAGAATATATTTTTAATAATAATAATATTTTTACATATACTTGATTTAATCTTATATTATATTCATAATATTTAGCTAAATACCTTGACAATTTAATAAAGTTTATGTATGTATGTATGTATGTATGTATGTATGTATGTATGTATGTATGTATATTCAAAATGGCCCCTCTTGTATGTCGGCCATCTTGGATGTTATTTATAATGTGAATTAATTTTGGGAATGTTATCAAACGTTTTACTATTTTGATAGAATCCATCGTCTCCTTTAAAACATGTTTACACTGCTTTATATTGGGAACCATGCACGTTTTCTTCAAAATGACTTGAAAGCCATATGCAAACGCCGACCGCTGATTACTAGCAAATAAGAGCACTGAAAAGATCTTCACTCGGTCAGCACTAGTTCTCACCCTAGTGCCTGCTGAAGGTATGATGAATCAAACTCAGTCACAGCCGTCTAAATGTAATTCCTCACCTTTATAGTGTAGTTTGAAACCTGACCCACTAACTTTGCCATTGCTGACGAAAGTAATGGTCATAGCATTTGAAGATGATACAAGGAGGGCTGGGAATCTTTCTCCACAATATCTTCCCATAAACTTTCTGGACTTAGGTCCACTATATATATCTAGGAAGTCGTTAAGGCAGGAAGGATGGTCTTCTAATTGGAATTCCAGGAATCGCAGTTTTATGGTGTTTCCGCGAGGAACGTTGATGGTCCACTGGCAAAGCGTCAGCGGTGGATAATACCCAGGATGGTGTGGTGATAAAACGATGCCTGACATAGTGGTAAAGTTTCTGTCGCATTCTGAAAAAGATAATTCATTCAATTCAGACCATACATATCTCCATGACTAGTGCATTTCAGTGTGAGTATTGTCAATGTTTTATACTTTCAAAAGATGCCATAAATTCAAACTAAAATGTACTAGTCATGGAGGTATGTATAGTGCGCATTAATTTGGAAAAATGATAACGTCAAAACAGGGAATGTTGTAATGCAATTTTTTACAGGTTGGTAGGATAGGTTTGTCTTGAAATTTTAAGATGTTGCAGTGAATCAATCTCAATGAAAGTTTCAGACAGATTATTTTATACATTATGAAGATTGATGTGACGAGATTTGAAAAAAATGCGTTCCAGTCGTGTCAGATATCTTTCAAAAAGCGCTAAAAGTCCAAATTTTGAATGAAGTTGCACTTAAGGACTGTGCAATAATTATCAGGAGGGGGGCCCTAAAACCAGAGGGGGGGGGGCCTTAAGTTAAAATAATGGAAAGGAGGGGGGACTCTACATTAGATTTCTCAAGTAAGTTGAGGGGGGGTCTTAATTAAATTTCACAAATTCGATAATGAATAAATGAACATTTTCCAAATAGACAGATGCCACTCCTTTGACTATCCATAATGTCT